TTAGAAATGAAGATTCAAAATAGATAAGACATATATATTCCCCATCAATTTCGTCTTCAGAGCAAAGGATATCTATTACTATTACAATTACAAGCATCATAAGAAAGCATTGCTAGCTATCTAAAGTTTTTAATTTTGTTTATTAAGTGCATGAATATTTCACTTTCATAAGCCCCGTAAAGCAAAGCCATCTAAATATAGACACACAAGACAATACAAGTACAAGTGTGTCTCAAGAAGTTAGGTAGATCAAATATATTCCTCATGGAATGTCTTTTTTCCCTGAATTTAAAATCAGTCAATAGTATTATTCTCAGTCAAAATTGTAAATCAAAAGTCAAAAAGTAAACTTTGCTCATTTTGCACAAAGGTTTCATGCAAAAATAGACAGTACATACAAAAAAAAAAAATGAAGAAGAAGAAGAAGAAGAAAAAGAAGAAGAAGAAGAAGAAGAAGAAGAAGAAGAAGAAGAAGAAGAAGAAGAAAGTGCCAAGCGACTACTTGAAAAATATAAATCTAGCATTCATGTCTGTTCCTTTTGTATAAGTGAGGCAGTCTGCAAGAATAAGGATTTGAGCAGGTAAACTGTTCTAAGCTAAAGGCATCATTAAAAAAAAAAAAATCTTTAAAATTTAAACAGGTGGAGGTCATCTTATACTGAGCTCCAGTTATAAATTTCAGAATGTCCCCAGATGTCTATTTTAAATCTATGGAAGTTATTTTTGTTTTTGAATTTTAAAAAAGTAACCAAGAGATAACATTTTAAACATGTTAAAAGTTTTTCCTGATATGTATATCTTATGACTTTAAAAACTTTATTCCAAACACATTTTTATTCGTTCCTACTTTGTTTTTCTTCCATAATTCTAGACTTCAAAGACTTCCTTTCAGCATAATTTTTATTCCAGAGAAGACATCTTAAAAATTTGAAATGCAGAATACCTCGTTGACACTAGGTAAAAATCATTGTAAAGATGGGAGCAAAAAATGACACAGACACTGCTTTTTAAGTTATCAAACAAGATACTGGAAAAACTTTTCTAGAGAAAAATAACCCAATAACTACAAATACTATGACTATTCATTATCAATTGAGCAAAGGAAGACGCAAATATACAGTATGAAACCAGGTGACAGAACAATTTACGCAAAACATCTTGCTTCTAAAGTGAATTTATGTAAGAAAAGGGGAACATGAGACAAACAAAAGAAATAACAATACCTGTCCTGTCTTCATCAGGCAGTGACTATAATAAGATGACATACAACACAAATAAATTTTGCTCCTGTATCCTTCCCCTTCCCAACAGCAAAGAACAAACCCAATCCCTTGACACAGTATCTTGTTCACCTGTGACTTTATTACTTTTCCAGAAATTTGTAAAACTCTCACTTGTGTCCTGCTGGCAGTAATTATAAAAATTCATCTGTCTATGTACCTAGTTTACAAACAGAACGCCATTATAAACCCTACAAGAAAAGAACTGTAATGTTTTGAAAATTTAAAGAAAAACTCTGAAGACTAGAAATTTCTGTAGCTATAACATTCTATAACTGTAACCGTAATTGTAGAGAACATTTTTGTACATAATTCTCTTAGAAAACCAATGTCTGGTATCCTAAAGGAGAAAATCTGGACATGAGACACAAATTCCCAACTACAATCCCCTCTGCTCCCCATAGGGGAGAAAAAAGAAAGTCGGGGGAAGGGGTGTGTCATTAAAAAAATAAAAAAAAGGGAACGAAAAAATAACCCAAACCCAAACTACTTTTGGTATAATAACTAAATCAAATACACTACCAGTACTACAACATGCTACACATAGACTAACCTACAACCAGCCCTCATCACTAACTACTACAACTACTATTACTACCATGCTGCTACATGCACACCAACTGTTAGGTCCAGTACATTGTAATTGTAGTACGTACAAAGAGGCCTGACAATCTTGGAGAAATATTCCTATATATTTAGCAAGGTCCTCCGAGTGGTTTAATATGGGACTGAATGTTTTAGTAGAGGAATGACAGGGATCAGTAACTGAGGGTAAATTTCCCCATGCTCAGAAGCAAAAGGAGGATTATTCTTGTAAATGTTTACACGATGGGTTTGTATATGAAAAGTTTGATAATATTTTTAATACTGCCTGTTGATGCGAGACATTTATCTACCACAGAAAACAATTCCGGAGTAAAAAGAGGGCTGTATTTATTCGCCAATACCAATGAGAAATTATTTGCCTTGAAATTGTTTATTCGCTTCAATGAGAAAACATTTGTCGTGACAAGAAGCTCTGTCATTGGTACAATCTTTGTCAAGCCCCAGAGGTGAACTACAAAACTGTGTCTTTACCAAAATTTCCATTCGGCTTGGAAATCTTGGGACATATTTTCCTTTGCACCTGTGAGGAAAATTTGGAGGAAAAAAGTCCTCTCAGTGGTACTGGTGAACAAAAACTTTCCTTTAAAAATGTGAATGACTAATTAGCTTTGTGACAACTGTTACAATATCATGGTCCTGTAAACAGCACTGCCTAGAATAAAGTCACAGCACTTCCAAGTAAAAGTCGCACAAGGATAAATATACATCAGTCCCCTTTGAATCGGGGCAAGTAAAATTGTGACATTAATAGGGACTTGTACATTCGTATATAAAACCCAGGTCAGTATCTACATCATATCTAAGAGTTAAAGTTCATTTTTCTCAAATTCAAAACACATTGACATACACATACTATTAATTTAGATTTTCACAGATGCTAATCAGTGAATATGAATACAAATGAAAAAATCTCAACATTTTGAGCACATCTTTCAAACGTAAAGGGCCTGCAAGAACTTTTTCACAACCATGAACTAAATCAATAACAGTTGCGTAGCAAACTTGACAAAACATAAATGAAAAAAGGCTGCAGGTGACAGGCATCATTGAATGTATGCAAACTTTCAGCTCGCTTGTAAATCAAATCATTTCAAGTCAATGGACTCTACACTAAAGAGTTCGGAGCTATGTGGACGAACTTTCAATATGTACACGAGCCCCGACAAAACTATTAGGCCACTATCGTCATAAATTCATTCACACAGATAGGGAAAAGTTCGAAGAAGCCCAAACTTAACAATACAGGTGACAGCAGAGGATGAGACAGAAGAAGAGAAAAAGACTGGGAAAGAAGCTGAAAATATTCCTGAGAAAAAGGAGAAGAGGAAAAGAAAGTAAAAATTTTTTATAACATAACACACACAAAAATAGAAATAAAATGAAATCAAACACACAGATTTTTGTTACTCTGAACGAAACCAGCAGAGGACAAAATGAAGAAAGCTGAATCCCGGAACTGTCTTCATAAATATTGGCATCAAGTACAACATATCACTCATCAAGCATAGCTTTCTTCATTAAAAAAGTGTTTAAATCTGAGTAAACAAGAAGACATTTTTTGTCAATGAAGGCTCACCCTGGAACTGAATTTATGACACGCATAACAAAACTGTCATTTGTATCAGGGACTATTTTCTCACTTTAAGCACACTACTAATTTTCTTAATCAACCTCGGTAACGCGATGATGAAATACCATCAGATCCAACGACTTGTATTTAAGTATAATAGCATTATTAGAGGCACAATTTATGCTCCCATTCATCTGTTCAAATCAATGTCTGCCTTGTCTTTGTACAACTGTGCCAGGCTCGCTTATTTAAGGCCCATGTGTCATTGCAATTCAGTTAACATATACAGAATGAAACTGAACATACATATCCAGAGAAGTTCTGCTTTTAAATAAGTCTGTCCTGCTCAAGATAGATTCTTCAGGCTTTCATTGTCCACTTCACCAACAGAATTGTATAGAAACAATTCAATAACTAGCTACATATGTCAAACAGAATAAGTGAGAGGTTTCTAACTTAAAATTGGACAACAGTAAAATTCTGATCAACTATTTACAACAGTATTATTACCATTCATTCACCAAAACAAAACTCAGCTTCTCCTACAGAATTCTCACTTGTGGATAAAGATTAAGCAATACGGCATTAATTGGGCACTTTGGTACTATATTTGGGAAATAAAAAATACCAATCATAAATCCCACGGTCATATCATATGCTGCTCAAAAGGTTTAAGACTGGTGAAATCTTTGCTGATCACAAAAGCCATTAACTGTCAAAATTGACGGTGGAGAGTTTTGATTTATGCACAACCATTATTAACACATTTGAGCTTTGCAAGGCAAACACTTGCACGCAGCAGTTTAAACAGCAGTCAACACCTCAGATCCCGACACCTAGCATGAGGGTTTACCTTAGTTCCCACTTTTCTTAAGACAAATTTGTACTTTTGGAGAAAAAAGATATTATCAAAGGTCCAGTAGACAGTGACCACATAATGACTTGACTGTAAAAAAAAAAAAAAAACCCCAAAAGAATGAGCAAATGATGAGCTCACTTAAAAATCAAACAGAAGAGATCAGAGAACCGTAAAAGGAGACATTCACGCAGCATGGCACGACAATGCGCAGCCTACTAACTTACATACCCTTTATGGTAAATCACATAATATAATCTGACTGCACACTCCAAAAAATAGGGAATTATGAAAAACTGAGTGGGATCTTTTGAAAGACGAAAAATTAGGACATTCTGATTTATTTAACAGAATACTTTACAGGTCTGCAGATGTCACTTTTGTCACTACTGCTGATTTTAAAGAAAGTGGAATTCATTTTGACTCTTTATCAAAGGTTGTTCCCTACTACTCTAATCTGGATAGGGTCCTATTTGCCTAACACATTCCGCTTGTTTTTTTACGTCCACAGCAGTGAAATCTTAAGTAAAGACTATTTATAGTACTCAAAAAGTCAAATATAGAAAAAGGAAATCGTGGGATAACATAGAGAAATGAAAAAGAAGGAAAGGGAGACGAGAGGTGGAAGTTTAAAAAGGGAAAAATGAAATGTAGTGGGGGGTGGGGGGGAGGAAGAGAGACAGAGAGAGAGAGAGAAAGAGAGAAAGAGAGACAAACAGACAGACAGACAGACAAACAGACAGAAAGAGAGAGAAGAGATAAGTGAGGAGATGAAAATCTTTATGCATTATAGCACCACCTGGAAATCAAGTAAAATTACATACGTGGTACATAGAGACACCCAACATCAGATATGTTTAGGATTATCTTGAGCTTTCAATGTCACAAATAAGAAGCAAGGATATTTACAAGAACACATTATCATTACCCAGCAATAAAATAAATCATTGTCCTTAAGCTAAAATTAAGGAAAAAAAAATCTACGGAAATCACTCATTTGGATTCCAAATAAGATAAAAATGTTTTTCTAGGAATTACTTTCTTCTTCTCCATCAAGCTTTAGCCATACAGATGAAAAAGACATTCCAGTGCCATTATCTTGCTGTGACTGTGACGCTGGGTGGCGCGGAGAGTGGCGAGGCGAGCGACGTGGGGAATGACGTGGCGAGCGGCGTACCTGAGACCTTGGGGAGCGGGGAGCATTCTTACGAGGAGATAGCATGCCATTCTTCGCCTTCTTCACTGGGTGTAGTGTCTGGGGATGGCCTGGGTTGGACGTGCTTGCTTGATCCATGGCAAACTGGACCCTGAGAGGCGTGTGACCAGCCAGGCTTTTTGGCTTTACCTGACAACACAGAAAACAGGTAACAGCAAAATTCATAGGCTATGTGTGAAACAAAGCAAACTGACTGAGATGGTATGGGCATATATAACAAGATCAACAGGACTCTACTGGGCACGGTACAAGGAGGGGCAAGGAAAGGCAGACAGAAAAAGAGATGGGAAGATAAACACAACGGAATAGACAGCTTTAAATTTAAGTGAAGCCCTTCAAAGGCTGAGAATAGAGAAGAATGGAGAAAAGCAGTTGCCTAGTCATCCTTGGTGCCCCAACTGTAATCTAGACTAGTAAGTAAGTGTGTTACACCAACATTAACACAGTTTAAATTTCGTAGCCTGGCAAAATCTGGCCGTAAGTGGGGCTGGCGGTATAATAATAATAAATTACATTTATTTAGCGCTCAACCCCGATTATAGTACACAGGCTCTGAGCGCTTTAAAATACAGTACAACGTACAGCAGTAACATAAAACATAGTGTTCTGACTAAAAGAAAATAACTCAAAATATCCATCTCATAATGAAGTTTAACGGCATTCTCCATCCTCAGAGTAGGATATATATGGAGTTGACACTGTGAAAAACGGATTTAAGCAACAACCTAACGAATTTATATCTTATGCTTGAGGCTGACCATGAATATTGTTATCCCTTCTGAAAGGTATACTGTTCAATTAAGTGTACAGCTGTTTAATAAAATCTTTCATTATGCTTTTTTCCTCCTTTTAATGGAAAAAGTACTCTTTGATACAGAACATCTGTTGACAATACGTCTTCATGGGTATTTTTTAAAAAGCAGATGAGGAGTGGTTTTGTTTTAAACCCCATCCGTCCGTACGCCCTGGGGTCATTTTGTACCCCTGGGGTTGTAAATCTTCACATTTAAGAATACTTCTAGTACGAAGATCTCTTTGAAACTTTCAGTATTTCTCAAAAAATCATTTTGACAGACTGCTATGCAAAGCGTACGGATCGGATTAATGAGTAAATTTTCTCTTTGGAAAGTGGTGGCACAGAGTTCCCCACGTTGTACAGATACGATAGTAAAACACCAGGTACGAATAGGGTTAAGCAAACTTCATTGCAGAATCCCGAAATTTCCACCCAAGTATTGGAATTGCTTTCTATCTAATAAAGAGCATCACACACACACACAAGTACACTTACACTTTCTTCTGGATCTCGACTCTTGGATGCAGATGGACTGCTCGGCATTGAGTCTGCGGTGTTGGTGGACTCTTGCAGAGGTGACTTCAGTGGAGACTTGAGATGATCCCCGGCCTTCAGAAACTTCTCGGACTCCGGCGTTGTCACAGCATTGATGGTTTCCATCAGCGAGTCACTCAGTTCGATGCGCTGCCTCTTAGATGGAGACTGGAAAGATGGTGAGGAAGCTGAACCAAGGGCTGACAATTTCTTCTTTTTGGACGACTGTTGATGACGGTCTTGGAATTGGAATTTATGATGGGCTTCGCTATTCAGAGCTTCCGTATCATTGGAAATACTGTCAGAATCCGGCGAATTTTCACCCTGGTCAGAGGACGACTCAGATGCTGCTCCCTTCACTTCCATGACTGTGATATTTCCTTCAGAGCCATAGGCCTCAGACTCTGGATCTGAATCATCTTGGGGGGAGTTTGAGGAAAATGAGGCCCTCTCACTTCTGGAGGTGGACCGTTCTCTGGCAAAGCTGGCAATTTCTCTATACTGCCGAGCTTTTTCCTCGTTTTTAGCAAATATAGTAGGAATGCGAACAGGAGACGAAGCCCTTCTGTGTCTGGCCGCCTTGCGGGTGCTAGAAGACTGGGGCTGTGGCTGGGAGAAATGTTTGACACTTTCAGCCACAGAGCCTGCTTTGCGCTCTGAAATGTCCAAAATGCTGTCATGCTTCTGAAGAGCTATCTTAGCCCTCTTGATCCTCATTGGGCCATGTTCAGCTAGGGACTTGTCCAAAATGCCACTCAAGGTCATAGATTTGTCGCTTTCACTTAGTTTTCCGTGTCTGGATGTCAAGGGTCTTTTGAACTCTGCCACTGAATCATCAGTGGCACTGGCACCCTCTGATTGTTCATCACTGCTATTAGCTTGAACTGTTGGAACATTGCCGTTTTCACAAGTGGCGGCATCAGTAATGTCGTTTTTAACCTCGTCTCCTTTCCCCACCACATCATCCTGCTGACAGTCATCCTGCATAACTTCATCACCGCTTTTTTGCTCAAGCACACTAACCTCCATCTTTGATGAATACTCTGAAACTTTGTGGCCAATTTCAGTAGGCTCTGATTGCTCCTCTACCTGCAACTCAAGCTGGGATTCATCAGCAAAAACGTGACTGTCGAGGGACAATCCATCCCAGTCAGAAGAGATCTGACTCATGTTTGACGCGCTACTGCTTCTGTTGGCAGTGTCTTGACTGACATCAGACCTGCTGCTCCTTGTGCTGTGACGGAATGACGAGCTGAGACTTCGCCGCTTCTCGTAGAAGCTAGCACGGAGTGTATTCTTCATCTCCTCTCTGTGGGCCGAGCGTTTGGGAGATCTTACTGGTACAGCAACATCCGTAGACAAAGGTGCCAAGTCAGCTTGTGGGGCCATGAAACCGGCCCTGGCCAACAATTTGTGGGTGTCCCGACTGATCTGTAAATAAGGTTTATAGTTAAACTTTTTACCTGCAGGAGACAACGCGTGCAGACTATTTGCTCGAACTGGGGTTGCAACTCTTGGAGCAGTTTGTAGATCTTCAGCAGACACCGATTTCTTCCGATGGACATTTATCTTATCAGGAATGTTGGCCAGAGATTTGCATTCACTTAAGTTCTCCTCATCCCCTTTGAGCTGATCGATTGCTGGTACAGACGATGCTGATGATGATTCTTCGGAACCATAGTTGTCAGAAAGTAGCCTCATTCCTGGTCCACTCTTATCAGTTTGTCTTTTATGAGGTCGCAGCACAACGTAATCTCCCTCCACGTTCTGATGTCGTTTTTCCTCTTCCAGTGCACTTTGAACACCTGTAAGGGTCACGTAGACATCATCTGGTTGGCTCTCATTGAACCGGGTGGCCCTCTTGAGAGAAGGGTGGCCATGGCTGGATCCAGCTGTTAAAGCCATTGGTTTACAAAAATTGGCCCCGTCGAGTGAACTTTGACTCCTCTCAGAGCCCTCACCCTTGACTGCAGATGGGGCCAGTCCAGGATCGGACACAGAACTAACAATGGACGAACCAGAGGTCGAGCGAACTCCAAGAGCCGAATACCTGCCCGACTCAGTCCTCCTCATGACAGTGCCCCCGGAGATTGTGGAAAACCCAGCCAAGGATTCCTCGTCTGACTCAATATTAACTTCCATGTCCTCATTCCCGTCCCGGATGATTTGAACTTTTTCCTCCTCTGCAGGACCATCACCAAACCCAACAGGTGGGGGTATTATTATATCTAATAAATTGGTGTCCATATTAGAGGGCCCACTCTTATTTAAATCATTCAGACCATTCAGTTCTACGTCTTCTGTGGATTTTGAATTTTTCCCTTTGCCCTTTTTATTCATCCCTAGATCGTACTCATCGCGTCTGCTTCTCCTCAGCTCAGTGTCAGCTTGTATGTCAATCGCGTCGGGAACCACAGGAACAATCACGGGGCACGGTTCTCCAATGCTAACTCTGCCCACCATTTTCCTGTGCTTCAAGAGGTCAGTCTTAAGTCCACTGCTCCCTGCACCGCTCATCAGACCTCTTCTGGCACTCTGTCTTTCCAAGGGAATCGAATGACCAGTTGATCTTCTTGTTACCCCAGCCTCACTTGCACCACTAATAGTGTGAGTACCGTTTGACTCTCGCAGGTCCGAGTCTGAAGAACTTTTGCCTGCAGCAAGAGCTTCCTCACGGAGAGACGGAGAGGACACACTGTGCGTGATTCCTACGTCTCGATCTGCTGGCTTCGAGGTTCCACTCAATGAAAGACGTGCCCCAAGACTGTCATGGCTCTCCTGAGAAGAAACGGATAAAAAAAAGATGATGTATTTGTCATACTACAACATTCATTATACAACAGCACATTTACATGTACATTCAAGAACATAATGACAAATATGCACTTTCAATGCAAAGCATAACCTGTCAATCATTCATTTTAAAACCTTATCACTGGTCATTTTACTAAAGAAAGAGTTGTTCACCTTTATCGTAATTCAAAGCGGTAAGATAGAGAAAAAAAGACACCCTTGCTTCTGTACGTGAAATGGCCAATGAAATAGCAAGATGACAAAAATGGGAGGGAATATGAAAGCAGCGGCCATCTCTAAATGAGTGAAAGTTCACGTCTCACAGAGCATGGCCAAAGAAACATCAAATCAGATTTCACTCTTACTACACATGTAAATGTAATCACCAGCAGTGATTAAAAAAACTGAGACTTTTGACAATTCATTGTCAATTGTGCTACAGCCTCTTGTATGCGCATTTCATAAGCAGAGAAAGTAGAAAATAGAACAACTTTTAAAAACTACTTTCTTTGTTCATTTACTTAATATTGAAAGCTGTTAATCAAACTCAAATGACAATAAAAATGCCTATCATCGCCCAGGTACTGCCCTCCCTACTTTATCCCAGCAGATGGAATATTCATGAAACTGCTTTCAAACTGTTTACAAAACTGAAAACAGATAACAAACTTGGGAACTTAGAATTCAAAATGTAAGTACAAATTTAAAGTAGAATCCATGGTAAAAAAAACAACACTGCTGCATCTGAATGTTTAAAACACTGTAAGTCATTCAAACTCACTTTCTCAGATGGAAAATATTGCTGAAGTATTTCAATATCTAAATCCCAATACAAACATGAAAAATAAAACTCTTTCACTTGGAAAGAAATAAAACATTGGTGAGGAATACTATTCAGATACAATGCTGAAAACTCACTGTCAGGCAAAAGAAAAGAAACTGTCGCTGAAGGATGTTGATGTTTAAATTCCAATGAAAATAAAACTTACTTTCTCAGATCGGCCACCCAAACGGCCGAAAAAACCTCTCTTGCCCTTGGGTGTCGGGGACAGACCTCTGCTTTCAACTAGTTGCCTGGAAGCAAAATCAGGAAAAAATATACCATCAGAAGCTAAAGAAATACAGGAATGTCACTGACATTTTGTAAAAATAACTGAAAATTTAAACCGAGTCGCATTTTTATCATCTAAAAAAAAAGGACAATTCACAGAGAACTCATATGCGGTTAAACAAATATAAGTGCTCAGAATGATAAGAGTTCTTTCCAGTGAAATAGGAAATAAAGGACAAAAAAAAATAACTATGACATCTCTGTAAATACAATAGCTTTGTGCAGAGTGGACTACAGAATTGGTGTGATTCTTGCAACAAGTCACACTTTATCAAAATAAGGCAACACTCCAGAGATCTCCCTACCCATCCAAGCAAAAAGCTTTCCATAGAAGTCATAGTGGGTGGTCAGAACATAACCAGGACACAATCTATTCTTTTTTCAATTTTGCTATTTGCTTTTGTTTTTGCCAAGGAATGAAAGTAACCGGAAAGAGTGTATAACATTTAGTAGTAGTAGTAGTAGTATAAGGTTTTACGGCGCTCGCAACTGCTAAGGTCATATGAGCACGCGTGTATAGCATTTTGGCCAGAGTGAAAACTACAAAATGGTGATATGACAAAAAGAAAAAGAAACAAAAAAAAATTAATAATTTTTTATAACACTGAAACCACTTTTGCTATTGAATCAGTTTAATGCAATACTAGAGAATAGTTTTGATTTTTTAGCAGTCTCATGTTCTCTCAACACAAGTAGGGCATCTTGGAGATAATTGTACAGTGTACAGCTTGTGAGATTTGCAAAAGGAAAAATTTAAGTAATAGATACCAACCCTTTCAACCTTTTACTGCTTGCAGGAGAGCTGAAGAGATTAATTTTTTTACGGGAGGCCTTTGATCCACTGACAGGTGTGGTCGAGTTCAGATATGGTGCACGAGAAACATCAAGAAAACTGCTCTCTGTTGGAAGAAAAAAACCCAGCCCAATTAGCTCAATAATAAAAAGTCTATCAAGGAAGATCACAAAGGCATAAATCAAGACCACCATTGAGCCCAAAAGCATTAATGATTATTGGTAATGCAACTTCAAAATTTACTTCACAAGGCCTAGTCTTTTAGTTTCTCTGTGAGGAAAACATAAATTTCAAAATTCAAGAAATTTTTAAAAAAGGGTTTCCTCAGACATGTATCTAGTTACACTACTGCTGCAAAATTTGGAGAACTCTTATGGAGAATTTAAAAAATGACAGAGGTAAAACAAAAAAACAAAAACTCAATGTAAATCTATACACAATACCATCAAGGGTTGGTGGTCGTTTCACTGCGGACGCTGGTGTAAAAGGTGTAGACGCAAGGGCCGATCTTTGGGGCAGGTTTCCCAAAATATTTTTTCTGAAAAAAATAAAAAATATAAAAAAAAAGAATAGCTTTGTGGAAAACCTGATGGGGTGGGGGAGAAGAGGTTATCAGGAACAATGGAATGCTTCACATTTTGGTGAAAGAGAATAACAACTAAATAATTTGCTTTTCAGCAACTGGGTATCTTACTTTTTGGCAGCAATAAAATGAACAATTGAATAACTTAATTTTTGGTAGTATTGAAATTAACAATTGAATAACTTACTTTTTGGCAGTATTGAAAGGAACAAGTGAATAACTTACTTTTTGGTGGCAGAGAAAGGAACAGTATCCCCTGAAGCACGCCTTTTCCTGATGTGAGGAGTTGTCAAATTGGCAGAAGATTCTTCCAGCATCCGGCTGGCATCCATGGATGTGTTTGAGGCTAGAGACATCTCCCCGTGGAAGGTACTGGCGGAGGACATGTTGATGCTCTTCCCATCCGTGCTCCTCCGAAACTTGTTAGCAATTGAGTTGACCAGACCTGTGAGGGAGCAGATAACTAATGAATCGCATACATACACCCACAGAACTTTAAAAAACACACTCCTGGAAAAGAGCGTGTCATGAATTTCACACACCTACAGAACTTTTCAAACCTTACTTCTGCAAAAGAGCATAATCTAATGAATCACATACAGCGATAGAATTTTTTGAAACCTATTCCCACAAAAGAGTATTCTGATGAATAATATACACTGAGGTAAAAGGAGGATGAAGACAGTGGACAAGGCATTCATTGAGGAGAATTGTATAAACAGGACAAAGGCCAACGAATAGATACTTCCATGTATTTTTTTGGTTGTGACAAAAAAAAAAACTTTAAAAGAGAAGTACACCTGCCACACTTAATCAATGGGATCGGTACTTGATGTAAACAAATAGGATCAACAACAAATCGCCAAGGTGGCTGGAAAGCTGACTTAGAAATTTTCCTGGGGTATCCATAAATTAAAATATCCATGCATACGCCCTGTGTTAGACACCCCTGGAAAATGAGTGTGTGTTCATTATCATTATTTGTTTCAAAATCCTGAAGTATCACGTCAAGCACTCCTAGTCCAAGTGTCTAGAGCCAGCCTCCCCACACCAATAAGTCCCAAAAGGCACTTCAGCTTCAATCAGCGTGAATGAACTTTAAATGACTCCGCGCAAGTCACACGCCGAAGTCATGTCGCGTAATGTAAATGCGCACTTGAAACAGTTTTACTGACGGGTCTTGATGACTGGTCCGACTAACCAGAGCTCGGAGAAAACTTATTTTTAAAATAACAGCAGAACTACGAATATAAATTAATCATTTCTATGTCGCAATTGAAACAGTTGTCATGCCATCATCAGAGAATTCTGAGTGGTTTTAAAGTTTTAGTAAGAGTTTTACGGCACTTGCAACACAATAAGGTCATATAAGTGCCGAAGATTAGAGGTGTTACAAGAGAGTAACAAACATAAAAAAAGGAGGGGGAGATAAGGATGATAGATGTTTGATTGGAAAGAACGAGCAAACCACACCTGAGCACCCGTCAACCACCCATATTTCTGAGAGGAGACAAAAATGTGCAAGCAAAAGTTCCAACACAACTTGGGGCCAGTCAACTACTAAATCCGGCATCGATATTTTGGAAAATAGTGCCCTGAGTTCCTGCTGACAAAAATAAAACGGGTGCCTCCTGCAACAGAGAAGAAGGCAGAGTAAGTTTTTTGAAAAATCTGGCGCAACAGACGGAACAAGAAAAACAAAACAAAACGGGATATAGATCTATGTGATTGAAATCGGGAAAATTGAGATACTTCAGATTTGGGGGGAAAAAATCGGGATATCCTGATTAAATCGGGATGAGTAGCAGGTTTGGAGAAGCACGCCAACATAGAAATGGTCATTCGGTGCTAAAAACTGATACACAGAAAACAGAATTAGCAGAGGAAAAATAGAGAACTACATCTTTACTCCTAGTGGGTGATTGACAATATAAACAAACATGATGTACATACCAGAGAGAGAACTACTTCGCCTTCTTTTCTTCTTGAGAGCAATGTCCTTGGACTCTTCGAGCATGTTGTCATCACTGGCATCCAGCTCATCGTCCGTGGGATAATATTCGGCCATCAGCTTCAGCTAGAGGGAGAGAAATCGTGTGTTCGTCATTATATGGTAAAACAGTGACAGTACACATAGCCCGGAAAGCTTTCTCTCACAGACAGAATTCAAAGAATAATTAATAAAAAGTCTACAGACACATCTATTCAACACTATCCTTTGCCAGTAGTTTTTGTATGTGAGAATGTGTGCTGGTCTGGGAATTGTATGTGTAAGTATTGTTAAATGGCCTCACAATGTTTTCTGTCTTTTGATTTGGCAGTCAAGTTGTGTGATAATTCTACATTGTACAGCCCTTGAAGCCTTCTAGGGATTAAGCACCACATAAATTGCATCATAAAGAGCTGACCCTTTTGCTTCAATGAACTTGATTTTGAAAGAAAATAGAACAACAAACAAGAAAGATATACTGCTTCTCTCAAAGGGTTATTTTGGAAACGTGATACAGTCATAATGATCACATTTCTCAGATCCCTCCATAGTATTCTCCATCTCGACTATGACCAGACCACACTCCACTACTTTCACAGAGAAAAAAATCCTAAAGCATATATTCCTTATGTCATCGCCTCAGAACTATTTTGTCCAAAGTGTACAAAAGTAAAGAAGCATTTTAGACCAAATCGTTCTGAGGAGACGATATGGCATCGGTAGTTTAGTGGTTACGCTACCTGACTCGTAATCTTGAAGTTGCGAGTTCTGGGGTTTGAGCCACAGGTCTGACATTGTGTCCTTCAGAAAGGCACTTTACACTAATTTTCCTCACTTCACCCAGGTAAGAATGGGTACCCAGCTATAGACAGCGAAAGATGTTGTCAGTATGATAATGTTTTAGCGCCTATAAATGACAGCTTGCATTGTTTGCTTCCCGGGAAGTTGAGATTGTTTCAGAATGCTATCAGGTCTGCTTTGGTAATAGTATAGATTGTAAAGCGCACAGAGTATGCTATTGAGCTGGAATTTGCGTTATACAAATGCTATCTATTACCATTATTATTACAAAGAGCTCAGAGCTGACAAAACATTTTTACAACTGCCCAATCCTTTCACCAAAGTGAATTTAAAGTATTCCAACAATCAAAGCCAGAACAACTTGTGATAAATGCATGTCTGCTTGCTGTCAAGTAAAAGTCATCCCAGGCCATCCTTTCTTCAAAGCTGATACGAAACTGAAAAGCAACTAACCAGGTAACATAACCAGGCCATAGTCTGACTTACTGGTACTGATCAATCTATACAAAGATGTGCCAGACATTTAACTGGCAGAAGACCAGAGAAGGATCAACATTTCATATTTTCGTTAAGACTTTGAGAGTATTGTTCTTTGCATGAAAAAACCTTATAAAAAAACCAACTGGTCTCATTTATTTGTGTTTCCGACGTAATATATGAAACATAGAAACAAGGGTCTGTGGCGCAGTGGTTAAGCTCTACGGAACTGCATGCAGATGATGTGAATTCTTTTCCAACAGTTACATTTTTTTTGAGTATCTCAATCTGCTGGGAAATTGTATCCCATTGACCCAGCTTGCCTGTTAAATTATATAGGCCTATCATGTCGATTGGGGTGTAAAACAAAATCACTAACAGAAAAGATCATTTCAGAAATTTTATTAGTTTGACCGTAACCCACTGAAAAAGAATAGAGGCTATGTAGCAAAAGGAATTGTGACAGACAGAAATAGGAGGGCGAAGATGAAAGATTAAATTAGTAAAAAGTCTATCTTATACATCTGACATGTAGTTACCTGGTTTTGAAAACCAACTTCAACCATTCCAACTTGATCACAGTTACGGATGAGCAATTCTACTATGCATGTTTTGATGTTCAGTAGCTTTTCTTCAGCAGCATTCATTTTTTGCATCTGGCCACCCTGGAACAGACAGGGAATAGAAGAGTAGTGTAGAAATTTTAATAGTGATTTACTCATACTTTTTGTTGTGAATGCAACATGAACATACAAGTCAATCATCTTAATTATGCAGCCAGGCAGTAGGGACGGGCAGGTACTGGTACCCAGTACCGGAACTCCTGGTTCTACCGGAGGTGTCAGTACCAGCACCAGGCCTCCAGTACTGACTGTGGGAAGGAGCCAACACCAACGTTTTTTTTTTTACTGAGCCACGTGAATGGTGCAGTGTGTAGGCCTAGGACTAGCAGCTGTGACATCAAAGATGCAAAACGCAGCTGGTGACCATGATACATGACTTCAGATTCAAAATGACTACTCTTGCTTAAATTTAAAAGTGGCATTAAATCAGGTTCCATGTGAGCCACTTTGCTCATTTTCATACGCTGATTCTGAAAATGAAATAAATTTTTAGCGGTGATAATAATTTTAATAATTTTGCATGCAAAGTTTAATCCTGCGAGGTGGCAAACCGTAAAGGTATTTTGCGTTACAGTTCGCCTCTCCAATTCTGACTTGAGTGTGTGTGTGTGTGGAGATGCAGGCCGCGCTGACCGTGGCATTAGGCACAAGACGCGAAGTCTGTGACGTCACCTCCTGGGGCCACTCCCAGTACCGGTAACAGCGGTTCTCGGCACAAGTACCGACACTGGGTTTTGCCGATACTGCCCAGCACTAGCAGTCAGGCCTAGGACTCTCCTGGGCTGTTAAGTATGCGTATTTGAATAAAGTTAAAAAAGAAAAATATATCAACATGGTAACAATAAGATCATTTTACTAAGAAAGTGGAAGAAAGACAGAAACAAGAGCGGGGAAGAAATGAAGCAGAGCCTACCTGTGTCACCATTCAACCACATGCATCTTGGGCGATTACTGAAGATTGTAAACCAACCAAGTAGTCAAGAGAAAAAAAGCAGTACGCTTAATGTGTTGTTGGTGGCCATGCCATAGGCGGAACTATACTGATTACAATCACACATACTTACTTTGTTGCCGTGCATTAAATTAGGCGCCATCACCACAGCTAAATTATTAGCGGTCATTTTGTTTTTCTCTGCATTTGCTGCCACACGGCTCAGCATGTGTAAAAGATGGCGGAGAGCCCCAATGTTCTCTGTTGGAAGTAGCAGGCAAAGGCGCAGTAGTGCTCTTTTCTGAAAATCATTGAAAGCAAAGGTCACAATTTAAAATGCAAAGTACCATAACACACTGCAACCTGAAAGCAAAGTCACTGGATTTTTCTTCTTTTTTTTTGTTGAGTTTATCAACATCAATCTATTAATTTACAGTCATCACTAGCTTGCACAGCAGGCAGCACATTTTGGTAGAAAAGCAATTCTGAAAAGAAGGATGGGCAGCTCATCACAAAATTGAACAACAACCATGTGTTTCATAGATTATTGCTGCCTTATGAAACATCAAATTTTGACAAGAGTGATTTTATAAATTGAAAGGAAAGATTCATCATGTATATTTTAAAAAAATCAAACAAAAAACTATAAACAATGGTTTGTATTAACCAATACCACCATTAATTCTAATAATTTTTTAATAGCAAACTGGCACTGATGCGGTGATTTCGACTTAAGTAAAAAATGGCAATGTAAGGATTAAATCAAGAAGGCTCTTTCAGTATAATATTGGTACACAGTTATAAAATAGCATCATAATTATATATGGAAGAAATTAACTTACTGGATCCTTGTCCGGGGGCAGCTGGTAACACTTGACAAAAACATCTGTCAGGTGTGAGACAAACAAAGGCTCTGGCAACTCTCGGAAGAATTGCTTGATCAGCACAGCAACATCAAATATGTTCGCATCGGCAAAAGGCCTGCCATCTTCAATAGCTACCTGCAAGAACACATCAGATGTAATTAGTGTAATGTCCCTTACTCAGAACTATTATAAGTCAATTTAAACATCTCTATACTATCATATGATTATCTTTTAGTTTTAGTAGAGGTTTTACAGCGCTCCCAACTGCATAAAGGTCATATGAGCGCCAGAAGACTAGAGGTGTTACAAGAGAGTAACAAACATAAAAAAAAGGGGAGATAAGGACGATAGATGTTTGATAGGAAAGAAGGAGCAAACCACACCAGAGCACCCGCCAACCACCCACACGATTATCTTTGTCGTGTGTTTCTGTTCTGCACCTAAATACAATTTTTAAATACAGAAATTTATTAATAATCAAAGAAGAATAAGTCTATTAGAGAAAAGACAAAATGGAACCATGCTGAACTTCATAGGAGGGTTTGCTAAATTTAGTGGTTAGAGTAGAAAAGAAAGAAGAACAAAAGCACAGATGAATTCACAAAATGTTCATCTGAGCGTTCATTTTCATGTGGATCATTTCATCTTTAAAATAAAAGAGTTGCATCCTCAATTTCGAATTAGTTACAGTAATGAAAAACATAATAATTGTGAACAATAATAATAACAGTCACTGAGTCCTAGTACATACAATGCAAGACTAAAAAAAGACTGAAAGCAACAAAGGGAGAGTAAAGAAGTAGACACCATCCAATCACCAATAACCTCCCAGCTTCAGTGATGTAGCGCTCCCAAAAAAGTGACATGAAATTTATGCCGATACTACAATAAAAATCATACATTGCCAGAATGTGATCATTTTTGGAAATCTACACATTAGAGAGGGCTGAAAGAGATTTTTAAAATTATTCCAAACAAAAGACTTACCTTCAGCTCTTTCTGTCTGCTAACTGCACCAGATTTGCGAAAGATACCTTCACTGTCCAAATTTGCATCAATAATTTTTGCAGCATCTATTAAAAACCTGTAAATGAAATGAAATGAAAACCAAAAACCAATGGAGAAGGCATCATTCATAATTGAAATGTGTATTAAAAAAAACAAACTGCTATAAACCACAACCAAAAAGCCCTGAAACATTTTTGAGACTGCAGTCTAAGTCTTGATAATACAACAACAACAACAAAATAACGTGAAGGTCAAACTCTTAATATATATTTTATATACCCAAGCATGCCGCCAGTCAAGACAAAAGGCAACTAATTTCACAAAATAATAATAACATTTAGATTGCTTATTTTCTACGAAGAGGCATTCGGACTCGAGTCAGAATAGTCTGAATAGCCTTGCATGGCTATTCGGACTCAAAAACTCTTAACGATATCGATCCCATCATGACTTATTGATTGCTCGATGATTTTCCACACTGACTCTTCTGCTGTCATTTTAATATATTGAATTAAAATTTGATTTGCATTTTATTTGTCCTCAAGACATGACAATTTTAATGACTTTACTAACATTTTGAACTGATACCACGGCTTAATTCAGACGGTAGAAGGATTGTTGCTTGTTTAACACTATCAGAATATTAAAAAAGTGTTGTTTAGTCCTGATTTTATTTGAGCATCAGGTAAAGTATGCTGTTGGAAGAGCTTTTCCTTTAGATCACTGTTCCTTTAAATGACTGACTTTTGTTCCCTTTGGAAGGGTTTTAACTTTTCTCTTCTTAATTTCTAACTGGACTTCCAATTGATCAATGATTTTGTCTTTCTCATCAAATAAAGCGAGTTCAGACTACCTATTGATAATCCTTTTGTTGTTCTGAAACTTTCATTTTGATTTTTTTTTTTTTTTAAATTTTTTTTTTTACTGTTTTGATCTCAGACTGTGGTTTCCCTGTTTTCCTTTGTTGTGTAGTATTTCAGATTTTGCAATTGTTTTTTTCAGTTTTGACGTCACTAGACTAATACTTTTCTTAATTTGTGTTGAAAATTGTGGCCAGATCGTAGAAACCAAGGAAGGCCAAGTTCGAATTGCTTGTCCGCTTCACACCAGGTGTTTGCGCATGCTTATTGGAGTTTGAGTCCAAATAACCACGGGAGGCTTTTCAGACGAGTCCGAAAAGCCGCTGCCTATTTTCTAAGGCAAGTAAGCAAGCATATCTTTATTGACAACTGATTTTTGAAAGGAATGAGCAAAGTCATGCATTCTATTCACTTAAACATTGACACAAAGTTCATTGTACTTATTAAATTACTATTCTTCTTTTTGTGGTTCATCATAGCACATCTCACAAAAAAGTTCAAACACACACCATCTTTTCCAAACGTGATATTTTGCAGAGTTCGTTAACCAGACACTGTTCAGTAATTCAGTAAGACTTGAAAAAAAAAAGAATTTAACAACCAAGATGAAAACTTACTGTGGAACATATCCATATTCTGGAATGAAGCTACCTGGAATAACGCTCAAACTCTCTCCAAACACTTTATCTTTTGGCAGATCATCCTGTCCAGACCCATGAAGATTGAAAAAAGAAATAAAATTGATGAGACAATGAACATATATATATGAAAAATCTGGTCAGTTAAAGCTAGACCAAAAATGAGGAAGGACTTCTCTGTAATGAGCGACCACTCCAACAAACACTTGGCAACAAAGAAGGGAAATAGCCATGTATACACTTAGAAGTTCTAATCCTTGCTGACCATAGCCTTTTATAAAACCCTAACCCTCTATCTTAGCATCTAGGCTATTTTGCAGTGGTCGCTTGTTATGGAATTCCTCCTGGAAATGGTGTAAATAACATGTCACTTAAAATGATAGATTTTCTATCAAAATGAATGATTATGTCTTTAAATAATTGAACCTAGAAAATCTTAAATTGTAGCATCATGTTCAACACACAGTCTAAAAGAATTAATATTCGGATCCAAGTTCGAATAGATAACATAAAATCCGACTCGAGTTCGAATAGAACTGGCCATTTATATTTATAACCCATATATATATATATATTTATATATATAAAAAGAAAAGACTTCCGTAACGAGCGACCACCCCAAACTCTGCAATAAAGAAGGGACTTTTGCGTGGGCTGTGTAAAAGATAGGGTTTAGTATTTGGTTGGGCAATAAAGAAAATAGAAAGTAAACTGACATTGTGTTACTTTGTGTTCTCTTGTCTTCCTTTGTCTCTTCACCTACAATGTGTATTATTAGTGACATGTTAACATCTGAAAGCATACACAATAATTAAATATATAACATGATAATAAAAATCAGCGACGTGACCGTGATTCGACAAGCAAACGAATTAGTAGTCCAGTTTACTTTCTTTATTGCCCAACCAGGTACTTGTACCCTATCTTTTACATAATCTGCAGCCCACTCAGAAGTCCATTCTTCATTGCGTAGGTTGGGGTGGTCGCTCGTTACGGAAGTCCTTCCTTCAAATGACCACACTCATACTGAGTCTGAGGACAATCAAAGTCACGAGTCACTTAAGACTTTAAGGATACAGAAAAATACTATACTAGATCTAGAAGCGATTTTGTAGTTTTGTTCATTAAAGTCAGGAGTAGGGGGGTTTCAGGGGGCTTGCACCCCTGACCTAAAAAAAATATGAAGGTGGGGGGTTCAGGGGGGCGTGCTCCCCTGAATTTTATCCTAATTTGATGTCTTGCAGTTAGGTTGCATCCCTGCTCTTTGTGTAGCCTATTTCGAATAGTATTTGGTCATCATGACTTCTGGATTTCTTCTCTGGATGTAAACAAATGGATCATGGACTTTAACGAACGGTCACCTCTATTCTCACCCGGGGTGAGAATAGTGCAATGGCAGACAATGCCTACACACTACGCACATGATCATACTCAACTGAAACTAACTGAATGACTGAATTATTTAATTAAAATAAAAAATAATCTAGCACTAGATTCTAGATATATCTAGAATCTAGATCTAGATCTAGATATATCTAGATTCTAGATCTAGATATCTAGCAGTGAAGTGATGGTTGAGGCATCATCATGCAGTTCGTTGAGCACTCTTCTACCTAGATTAGATCTAGTTAGGCCTACTATGGGACTATGAAGGTTTGATATGATAATGTACAGGAGGCCCTTTTGACATGAATGAAGAATCGTCTGGAATGAGTAACGAGTGTCCAACAGCACACATATCTCCTGCCGTGAGCAACATTGCCTCTCCTTTGAGAGTGATGAACGAAAAATATTTTAGCGTTCCTGATTGTGATGTGCTTGGATTTGGATTATAAGGAGACGCCCAACAAATGAAAAGAAGCAGAGACTGGTCTCGAATCGAGGAGACTACGTTCACCTACCTGTGATACGCAACGAGACTGGTTCAGCTTCTTTAGTTTCTTGGGTTTCGGTAGCTTTAGTCCCAAAACTCTCAAATCTTGTATTACGATTGACTGGAGACGGTCAGTTCTGTCAATGTTGTTAACGAGTACACAACCATCCATGGCTATTGGACCTACAGAAAAACAAAATGAAGGATGGCGTCGTAGTTGCAGTTCACTTCATTCATCTCCTCCTGCTTCCCTGAAGGCCTGAGGGTGAAAAGGGTGTTTTCTCGAAGTGATTTGTTGTCGTCTAGGCTAGAGGCAAGGAAGGCTAGGCCTATCTTCACTCTTCACAATAACTTTTCTGCTCGTCTCTTCAAACAGTCCACATACGAATCTGATTGGCTGACCTTGGTGAAAGTTCATAATGCAGGAAGTAAACAGACATGGGTCACTTCCGGTGAAAACAAGAAGTAGACAACCCATCTCCGTGTTCGGCGAAGTTGTCTGATCGAAGAAGACTCTACAAGCTGTATAATACTTCTTATTGTAATTCCTGATTGTAGCCTTGATTAGTATGAATAGCAGTAGTCTATCTTAAAATACGTGATTGTTCCTTTCCTGGGCTCACAGCCATAACTGGATACTGAGGGTTTGATTTGAATGCTGCTCTTTTCGATGAAAGAGGTATGTGAATTGAATGCTAGCAGTCGACGAATATTATGTAGCAGAGACCTTCAATTTATTCACTGCTGTCAGGAATTCATTCATTGCGACAGTCTTTGGCATCATCATCATACATTGGCGTTGTAATTATAGTTTGTGGGTCGGAATTGTGATTATGATTCTAAAGGCTAGACATTTGTTTCAAATTCAATCTAAGTATGTCAGAGATTAGATTTTCTACGTGTTTTTGAATGTTTCCGACTTCACTACATCACGCGTGCAATATGATTAAGGTTTTAAAGATACAAGAGAGTAGTTTAGCTACCCGAGAGACTTACAAATTGATAATCATAATGGGACATTCAGTCCTATATGTCCCAATGCCCATTGCAAGTTAGGCCTGGGAGAGAAATTCGTGTAGTTTAAGCTGCAATTTTTGGCAGATTCTTTTCATGACTTTGATTGTTCATCCAGGACAGTCTGACAATACATGTATCATGCAAAAGTAAAAGCTTGCTGCTGCTGTGCATTAGTTTCTTTTAATGCTGTCTAACATTTATGTAGATCTAGATCTAGATCTAGATCTACTTAGTAAAAATGCATGTAGACCCACCTTATTTTCAACCGATCCAATTGTACTTTGTTACCTCTTTATTGTGTATAATGTCATTAATTTGTGCATCGTGCATGATAGTAAAATTCTGGGCATTTTATCGGTAGTTCCCACCCCGCAATTGTTATTCATTGGTTTGAGCCCCAAGAGAAGGGGGTTTGTGGGGGGCTTGCCCCCCTGACCTAATAAAAATATGGTTGAGGGGGGGGGGT